AACATAAATTTAAGTGGTACACAAGAAATTTTATATGGACTTTAAAAATATAAGAATTTTTCTGGCTATTATGTAAGGTAAAAGCTTTAATACATTTATGTTAATAATTTTGAAAAGTGTAATTCAAAAATTTTAAAGATTGGTTAACATTCAGAGATATACGCGGTTGAATTTATAAAGTCTTACTAAAATTTAACAATCTGAGCAAGGATAATTAGTTAAATTTTATTAGAACTCAAATCGCATTAGCTTATTTTCTCTTAAACAATAAGATGAAAACGAAAATCAGTGAAATCCAAGAACTCGTTTATTTTTTAATTTGTTGCATATGCAACAATTTCAGTTTTACGAATTTCATTTTAAAATCTAGAGTATAAAATTGATTATTATTCACCGATTTTTTAAAATGTCAGTGTTTTAAATTACTTGAGAATATCAGATAGAAGTTTTTAGTAAAAACTATATTAAAACCTTAATTATAATGTAAAAGGGGGAATCAATTTGAACCTATTTACTATTCTACCTAACCCATTTAATTCAGTTTGATAGTTCTTTAATGAAAAATATAGATGTGAGAACTCATCACATTTTCTGTAGAATCCAAGATTAATCATTTGCCTTATTTTTCTTTATTTTACTTTGCTCCTGGGAGAAACATAGAGCTGATAACAATGAAGCAATTTCTTGCGTCATTAAGTTTATTATACGCCAAGTTCATCGTCGGAATTTTTTTCTTTATATTGCTAAGATTATTGGTACTTATTATTTTATTTTGCGGGTATTTTTAATATTAGATATTACGAGGATTTTAATATGGCAATTATTAATACATAATAATTTTTTATTTTATACATAATGTATATAAAGCTACATATAATATTTGCCTGACCTAGTTTTAAAACCGAAACATTACAATTAAAGGACCAGTGCAATAACCACTGTACCATTAGTCAGATCATTTGCCTCATTAAAGGTTAATTTAACAAGCCCAAATTTTATACATGATGTTCTAAAAAACCACGATTTCAATGCAAGCAATACACATACACCATAATTTTAATTAATAATTTTCAAAATTTTTATATAAATAATTTTGAATTTAATAGAACCGTCATAGCTCTGCAACAAGCGAAATATATAGAAATTTTAATATAAACAAAACCCTAGTTTCAAACACAATAAATAATCCCCTGTTTACTGTTTATTTAGAATTGATTTGTTTACATAGAAAAATTTCAACGTAAACTATTTTTTTTTTAAATTACACCATAAAAATAAAAATAATTTCACAAAATTTTCTTTACATTTTTTGATAACCCAAAAAATATTTTTGTAAATTCCAAATTCTAAATTCAAAAATTACTGTAACCTCATTTATATCAATTTCAACTGCACATACCCTTACATTTATAATTTTTAAATTATTCATTATTATATGATAATATTATACATGTAACGTATGTATATATATGTATATATTATATATTCATAATTATTATGAAAATCTCCTCATTATTCTGACTTTATTTAATTTTTTTCAATTATAAAAGCGTTTATCCTTTTTCCGTTTTGATTTTTATTTTTGACTCTCTCTCTCTCTATCTCTTTTTTCTAAGTACACCTCAAATATTTGATCAAAACTTTTTTATATTACATATTATTATATTTTCAACATAATTTTAAATTCAACTCTTTATACATACAAAATGTAATATATTAGTGTAATTTACATGACGTGTAAAATAAAGTAAAATTTTTAATATTCAATGTTGTATTTACATTATTTTATATAGTGAAAAGAAAAATATTAGTAGTGTTTGAATGAAATAATCATCATTAGTGCATTTTGCATATTTATGGATAATTTTATGAGGAGTTGCATTACAAACATTGTGGAGACCGTATCTGCATACGTCATATTATATCTGCGTTGAATGACCTATACAATGTGTTTATTTAGGAAAAGAAGTGATTGTGATTCATAATACATTAGAAAAAATAATTATGTTTGAAATTATTTTATTTTTTTTTTGTTTTCTTATTATTTGCTAAAATATAATGAAATCTTAGATATTATTTTCTATTTCGCTTATATACAGAATTTTCTCTTTTACATAAATAAAAAAATTTCTATTTTACAATTTTTTCTTCTCTTGTTTAATTTTCTTAAAAAAAAAAAAAAAGAAAACTAAACAAGTATATTTCCCTTTTTTCTTCACAATAGCACTACAAACAAACAAACAAATGAAACAAAACGAAATATTTTTACTTAAAAAAGCCTTATTCCTTGTACAAGAACAAAACAAAAAAAAAATGAAAACAAAACACAAAATCTTTTATCTTACCTTACATAAAATCTTTAAATCCTTAGCTACAAAAATAAGCGTTAATGAAAGCGTGATTGACTTATATTTACTTAATGTACATAAAAACATATTTTCTTAGTCAGAAAATACAAGCAGAAAACAAGCAAGAAATGTTAAGGAGGAGAAATCGTAAAAATTTAATATTTTTATTATACTCATAATCATAGTACCTACATGTGTTTTATATACAAAAAAAAAAAAAAACAGAAAAAAACATAAAACATTAAGATTTTTTTTTAAATTTTTTTTTTGTCTTTTTTCTCCATATTATGTGAAATAAACATATGAACTGGAGTCCTCTCGAAAAAATTTCATTTTTAATTTTCTGTGTATGTTTAAGGGATACCTATCTCACTTTTATACTTTTTTTTTTTTGTTTTTATGTGTGTACCTTTGTGTCGTCCTTTTTTGTTTTTTTTTTTTTTAATACTTGAAAAATAAAAGGCAAAGATTAAGTACAAAACATATTTATAAACTCAAAAAAAAAAAAAGAATTTTTGATGTGAACAACACATAACCGATCTGAAAATGTATTTGTCTGGTTTAGCAAAACTGTTGCAAAAGATTATGAAATTTTAAGAAGAATTATTGTTCCAAATTTTGAAGACCCTATTAAACTTTTAGTTGTCATACTTAGGAAAATGAAAATTTAATTATTAATAGAGCTTCGCTGTGTGCCATCCGGATTCGCTGAAAAATTTGCCATTTAGTTTCGGTAACAAGAAAATTGATTGATAATTTCTCTTTATATGCGTAAAAATATAAAATCGGCCGTAGTAAAGATCCAATGCTAGAGACATTATATATCCCAAAAGTTGATCAAAGTGTTTTATCCCCCATGTAAATTCAGATATAAATTTTGATGAAAATCGGTTCAGGTGAATTTTGAGATAATGGTGTGCACTGTGCAGAGACAAACTGACAAACAAACCGGCAAACATCTTTCTAAAAATAGTTTATTTACGGTTCCCTAGGATAAAGAAACGCATTTCCGCCGAAAATTTAACATCGAAAATTTGGGGCAACCACCTTCATTACAGTATACATTGCTGTCGGCAAAAAATTTGATGCGCATAATCGAACAGCACATAATCGAACGCAGTGTACATTTTCTGAATAATTTTGTTCACAAACAAAACTCGAATACTAAATTTAAAGAAATTCCGTTACTTAGTTCCTTAAATACTGATATTGGTCAAAAATGCAATATCGACCCTTCGTCAAAGTACAGATTTCTGTCATCTGATTTCTTTGAAAAGAAGCTTATTTATAAAACTTCAGGAAAATTTTTTTAATTATTCTTTTAAGAAAAATCTAAAGCATAAAAATCTTTTTGCCTAAATGCTAATCAAACTGTTACATGGTCAAGGTAAAACCATAGATATAAATTTTCCTTAAAATTGATTCAACCAAAATCAAGATACACGAGAGTATAAACAGACTGGCAAACACTTTTCTAAAAATAATTTATTCACGCTACTTAGTATAGAGAAATTTATTTTTGTCGAAATTTCGACATGCGAAATTTGTTGACATCGGGTAACTTCCCTTATTGTATGTAATGCGGTCGCTAAAAATACTAAAACATGTTTGTATTGAATGGTGTGACTTGGAATTTTATAATAATAATAATAAGTGTATTATGTATGAATGAAATATTTCATACAAATATATACGTATGATTGAATATACAAAAGTACACTCAGCAAAATAAATTGTTATTTCAAAATTCCTTAAATTTAAATACTTTTCCCAGTCTTTCGAATCCAGCAACTTTATTTTTAGTTTTAAATAGTAATTTAGAACCAATTATTACTATATTCATAAATATTTGATTTTGCAATTATTTGAAGTTTTTATTAATTAATTTGCAACACGATTTTTCTACAACCATTATAGATTAGGTCCTAATGTATGAGGCTTCTTATTTCATGAGGTCTTTGATTCGAATTTTTATTATTAAGTTATTCGAAGTATAAAAACAATAATATTATATTCAAATATTAAAGAAGAAAGGTATTCAGTATAATTTTTAAAAATTTCAATATATGTAATTCTTGTAACATTAATAGTGCCTTGATTGAAATAATATTCCGAAGAATGCAACATAGAATGCAATATTTTCTGATTGAAACCTTGCTAACTATTCTACCGGTCTGTGAAATTAAATGTAATTTTTGTCACTTCTATGTTTGAAATCAAACATGAGAATGTTTTAAACCCAAGTATTTTGTATGAGTGTTATTTGAATGTTAGCAATTTAAAATTTTAATTCGGAATATTCGTTTTTTAAAATTTTTGTATTTTAATCAAACATAAAAATTGTTTAAAATAAAAAAATATCACAAGTTTGATTATAATTGTATGAAATATTACTTTATGTTCTGAGTGTATGATTATAAAATTTAATAGAGAGAGAGAGAGTATGTTTAAAAGCAAAGAATAAAAAAATTATTTAAACAAAAACAAAAAAACACAAATATTAAAGACTAGAAATACACACTCCATACTTCAATTCAAATATAAATATATTTATAAACACACACACATTACAAATATATATATGATTCTTTCTTTAATAAAAACAGAAAAACAAAAAAAAACATTTTCTCATAATGCATAAATCATTTTCAGACTCTTGGGATTTCGTCGTGCTATGCCGGTAACAGGGCGTTTATTAAATATAACCACAGATATTTACCAAGTTGCAGACGAAGATTTATTGAAGACGTTCTTTGTATCTCCGTCCAGCAATTTATGTTTTCACGGTAAATGTTCATATTATTGCGATACATCGCATGCCATCTGTGGTAATCCAGATACACTAGAAGGATCATTTGCAGCATTTTTACCAGCATATGATCAAGCTCAAAGGAAGGTAAGATTAATGGTTAAATATTAGAAAATATTTCTTTATTTTTTTTTTTATATTATATGTATATAGACGAGTATATTTTATATTTATAATAAAACAATATTAATGTTTCAGTTTTCAAGTTATATTATTAATATAGAAAGAACAAGAAAAACAATAAAAATAACAATAATAATTTTCATTTTTACTTTCTGCTTTTCCATATTTAGCAGTCAAAAAATAGGTTGTTTATATGATGAAAATTTAAAATATTTACATGACGTTACGAATGTTATATTAAATGTAATATTTTATATAATATACTCTTATGTTATTATTGTTGTTTTTTCAAAAAAAAAAAAGTAAGAGTATATACACACACATATTTTGGCATAATTTTATTTTTTTATGTTGATAAAGTCTAGATGATGAAGACTTCCTTTTTTATTTTTATTCTCTTAAATAATATGTAAAAATTTTTTTAATACAATAAGGATACCTGATAAAAGTATGCGCAGTTCTTCAAACAAAATACTTTTATTATAATATACGATATAATTATAATGCCTAAATATTATTAAAATTTAATATTGAATTTATTAAACTGCTAAAGTTGAATTTAAATGAAATTTTGTAAATAAAATTTTATATATGGAAGCTTTAAAGAACATTTCGGCTGTCATTGAAAAATAACATTTACTTAGAAAATTTTGAAAAGCAGTTTTATGGAATTCGATTCTAGGTATTCATTACATATAACAAATGTATTTCTTATAGAAATGGAAGTCTAATTTCATTTTACATAAAAATGCCATTATAGGAACACTTAATGGAAAAATTATTTGAAAACAAGATCCTAAAAATTGCACAGATTCCTTCACAAATCTCTATTTTCTGTAAAAGTTACAATGGCAATATTTTCAATCGCTGTATTAGAGTACACAATTTGGAATTTATTCAAAAAATTAACAAAAAATTTGCAATTTCTGCAACAATAAATTGAAATTATATATTTATTGACTCAATGCTCAATAATGACTCAATGCTCAATAAATCTCAAAGAATTTCTCCTTGTAATCACAACAACAATAATAACTTGGGCTTCCAAATATAATCACGTATACAAAATATCAGAACAAATACGAAACTTTTCAATCAAAACATCAAAAAATATTTTTTTTACAATTATTTTATTATTATTATAAATTATTACATAAAGGATTCTTTTATATACACACATATATATATATAAATTTATATATAGGCATGGAGACATCCCTGGAGACGATCCTACCATAAAAGAAGGAAAGCTCAATGGGAAACAGATAATGATTATTGCAACATGGTAAAATATTTTTATTAAAAAAAAAAAAAAAATTTTTTTATAAATTTTATTTTTTAAATTTTTAAATATTTTTAATAAAAGATACGAGATATACCACCTTATGACGAAGGAAGACGACTTCTTGATTTAATGGACATGTCCGTATTTGATTTTCTTACTGGAAATATGGACAGACATCATTATGAAACATTTAAGTAAGTATTTTGTTTATTCTATTTTTAAATTATTTTTTCAAAATTATTATATTAAATTATGTAATGCTATATATATATATCTATCAGGTCCAGTGTTACCATATTGATTTCATTGAAAATTTAAAAAATTTTACCAAAAAATCTTGAAAATCTGCCAAAATAGAAAAAAACACTGGCGTTATGCTATTATCTGATCTTTTATATTTAACTTAAGTACATTTTTATTGTCGTATAGCTTAATTTTATCAAAAACTATTCTTATTAAAAGTATAATTTTTTCTGTTTTTCATCTTCTCTCTGTTGGTGCTTCATATAAAATGGTTAATTATTTTTAAAATAAAGCCTACTTGCTTTTTTTAATCAATTCTCCATTGCAATGGTTATCAGCAAAAAATTGCATTAAAAATGAAACTTAACTTGTATGTCTATAATAAAATCAACCTTTCTTTACAGACAATTTCAAAATGTCAAAATCAGGTTAGTCAAGAACACAGTTGTTGTCTGTCGTAATTCACAATAATACAATTATTACCCAGCATCAGCGTCATCTAGTTGTCAATTCCTTTAAAATACACTTTTTTACATATTAATTTTTGAAATACTGGATTACTGTTTAAGCAATAATAATTGACAAGACAAGAAATTTAAAATGATTTTTAAATTTAAGCAAAGCTAAAAAATATCTGGCATTTTGAGTAAGAAATCAGATCATCTGGCAGATCTTTGAAAAAAACTGAAAAATCAGATAAATCTGACAATATGGAAACGCTGATCAGGTCAACAAGTTGAAGTTATTTTCCGAAATTCGGAACTTTGGTAGTTACAAAAAAAAATTCTTAATGTTTTATGTTTTCGATGTATTCCGATTGAAATATCTTTTATTTTTTTTAAATCCAAGTTCTTACCCAAAAATTTTACTCTTTAATTCAGTACCATTCCTGCGTTAAAAATTGCAATTTTTCAGACAAAATTTAACAACCAATTTTTTTTTTATTTTAAAATATGTAGAATCAGTAGAGCTAAAAATATTGATCAATTTCCGACACTCCATTAAATGGGAGGGCATTCCAATTCCACATAAATTTGAAAATTTTTTTTAATTTACCCTCTTAGTTTGGTGGCATGACACAGATATGTGACATTATATAGAAGACTTAATTTCAAAGCATTGTCTACATTATTATTAAAATATAAAGTTAATCGATAATTATTTTACATTAATTAGTTCTCTATTTAGATAAGTTTTCCATAATAATAACCAATGCTGACCAAAAAAATTATGAATAAATTAATTGTGAAAATTTTTTTAATATCATCATTTTAAATTAGTTCCATCATTTGATTATCTAACCAATTTACGTACTAGCTATATACAAAACGTTTTTATTAATATTATGGTAAACGCACACTTATGTCTAACTACTTGAACGAAATAAAATTATTATTGAATAATAATTAAATTTTATGCAAATGTAAACCATTTTAATTACTTTACATCTCAACTAATTTTATTTTATTTTTGTTTTTTCTACATTTTATGCTTTTCATTCAATTATTGTAAAATTGAGAATATAGTGAATACAAAAAAAAATAGATAAAACATTTATTTTAAGTGCCTTTTATCTTTTATGGTATACATAAGTTATATAACGTCATTTAATACATGTAGACGAACGTATATATTAAATGTTCGCATTATATTTTAGTGGTTTATAATCTAGAATTCTATAAAATGATTCTTTTATACACAAGAATGGCAAAATTCAGCCTTATAACTAAAAAAAAAAATATTCTTACGTAATTAAACAAGGACACGAATGGAAATGAATGGAAAATTTATATTTTATTTTATTTTGTCTTTACTCAATATTTTAAAAAAATAATGTGGAAAAACCTGTTTCCAAGAACGGAACCAAAAAAAAAAAAAAAAGCAAATATAAAAAAATATTTTAAATAATACTTTCGACTATCAGTCTGCTTCAATTTGACCTTCTATATACTTGTCGCTTTTCTATGTACATAAATAATAACATAAAAAATAAAAATAAAAATATTAGGTTGGTTTTAAAATAATTTCCTTTTTTTTCCCACAATACAATAATCATAATAAATATGTATGTATGTATGTATGTGTAAATAAAAATTATCAGTGACGGCGGTTGTACAAATAAATTATCAAATCTCCACTATTTATCATATAGGACATTTTAAAATTTTGTTTAAATAGTCACAATAAGGAATTTATTTTATAATAACTTAGGCAACTGACTGGTAGTGCAGCACTTGAAGACGCGAATCGGGCAACGAGTTAAAATTCTGGCCGAGATTATTAAAGTAAATTGAGTAATTAATAATATTATTAAGTTTAAAATTCAATACGAAATTGGCCAACAGAATTACTAATTTCAAATGGCCTTTGAAAAATTTATGCCAAGACTAATCAGTGTGACAAAAATATCAATGAAAATAAGAACAAAAAATAAAAGAATTCGGCAAACTACAGCTCGCGGGCTGCATGCGGCCTTTTAAAACTTTTTCTACAGTTCGCTAATTGATCAAAATATTTCTTGGAAAAATTAACAAAGTGATGAAATGAGGTCACAACACGCGACACAAATTTATTCTAACAGAAGCGCAGTGAGAAATCTACTTTACTATGTGGAAACTAAATCTGAAATTTACAAGCGTATTTTATCGTATGAAAAATTAATGATGAAAAGCCAAGAATTTAATGAAAAGTGAACTTTACATTATTTCTCTATTAGTGATTACAAAAAAGCTCTATTATGCCTTATTTCAAAGAATCTATAAGGGTATTCAAATATTTAATGCGCGTCTCCACAAAACGCAAAAACAATTATAGCTAGTATGAATCTCAATTCTGTTTAAGCTTCATATGCAGCTTCAACATATTATATGCGGCGAATGTGCCGTCGTCTGTAAAATGTTGCCAACCCCTGTTCTAACTCATCAGCTTTGAGGAAAATTTTAGTTTATCGAAAACGAACTTTTATAGTTGCTCTTATTCCGTTCAATACACATAGTAGTAACCTTAATTTGGCAATTATTAAGGATCATACTTTTCTATTCTAAATATAATGGCTGAACTTCAGTTTTATTTAGCTGTTGATTATATTTACAAAAAAACCAAATTTCTACCCAAAATTTTATTCAAAAATAAAAAAAAAATAATTGGTAGGAATTAAAAAAAAAAGCTTATACTGCAAAATAATCAACAAAAAACAAGTATGCAAAATCATGTTTCCTTTAAATTTAAGGAAGCTTCGTCCCTGATCACAATACCACATTATAAGCATCTGTAACTAAATATATACATAAAAAATATTTTACAATAATTCTTCAAAATTTCTTTTCAGTTGAAATGTTGATTATTATTATGGTTTTCCTATATACACTTACAAATCCACATAAACATACATATAGGTATGTTGTAACATCAATTTTAAGAGCCTGAAAGCCTTTAGGCGATAAAGTATTATAGATACATTATGTTAAAGACGTTGTAAAGATATAGTTTTTTTTTTTCTTTTTTTTTTTTGAGTCTTCGAGTTGTAAATATAGAACAAAGTTCTTATAAAGCAATTATGCAGATTCCTTGTATTCTTAAACAATTTTATGATTGTATAGACTACCCTAAATATACAAATATCTATATTCTACAATATACATAAATAATTCTCATATATTTAACATATATACATATATGCATTATACAATGAAATTTATTTAAACAAAATTATCTGCAAGCCATATAATAAAGGATAATAAATATATGAAGAGGTATTTTGCCTTATAGGTAAACCATTTTATATTATTATATAAAGAAACAAATATATACTTAAGTTACTTTGCGATTTTAAGAAAACTTTGAATGAAAATTGTATGTATATACTATCATATTGTATACAGTAGCACAGTTATGCATTATTTTCCATGAATTTTCTTATTTAAAGTTTAAAATTAAAAGGAAATTCAAATTTATAATACAGAAAAATTTACAGTAAGTTTTAATTGCTCAATAACTTTCCAACTAAAATCTAATTAATTTTTAAGGGCAAAAATTTTTAATTGTAAGTTTCCAATTTTTAGTTGTATAACATTAAAGAAAAGAACGTAGACGGTTTATATTATAATTGTTCTATGAGTTCTATAATTTGTATTTCTCTTGAACTTTGTTAAAATTAAAATATAATTTTAATTACAAAATTACTATAAAATCTTTTTACTACATATACTTTAAAATTAAACCGAAAATTTTGTTGTTTTGGGTTACCAAAATCAAATAAGGAACTTATAAAATTTCTGTAAAACCGCATTAGTTTTGGAATTAAACAAAATGATATTGTATATTTGGCAGAATGTAAGGCTTATTATGGTTAACAATATGATGGAAATTGAAAATGTTTTCAGTAAATTTTCGTGTTACATAACATACGGTAGTATGAGTATTATGGTGGTGAAGTGTACATAATAGAAACATTTTTATTAAAACACATCTTTTCTCTTTAAAAGCTCATCTAAATTTTATTTATTACAATTTATTCACTTATTTGTGTGCCATGTACTTATTAGCAAGTTTACTTATATAAACCGACGTATTTGAGGATGAATTATAGGTTATTACAAAATTTTGGGAATTAAATTTTGTTCTCCATTTAAAATTTCATTTGCTTAGAAATCGAAAATTTTATTACAATTTACCAAAATTATTGATAAAATTTAAATTCTACTTTCAATATTGAACGTACGTTTTCGAATTTTTCTTAAATAATTAAAAATAATCCTACAGAATTGAATATGAATGCTCTTATATCAAAAGCAACGCATTCTAACTCAAAAACATGTTTGCAAATATTTTTCATCTTAAATCATCGTATATAATTAACTTTTATAACACACGAAAATTTCCACTTATTTAACAGTAACCTTATTGAATAAATTCATAATTTGGTTCTCCAATCCAAAATTCAGCACATGAA